CAACGCGCGCTATTGGCCAGCACTGATTTTTAAATTTAAAAACCAAACTATCTCTTACCCGATTCGGCCTGTTTTGGAGGAAAAGACTTATATCTTCCTCCAAAATGATATTTATGTCCGATGAATGTCCGCATCTCCTTTCTAATGTAAACTTCCTGATACATCCCATGTGCAATCTAAGCAGATTCTCACATTCTAAACAAACTGTTAAATTATTTTAATATAATAGATAGTTTAAAAAAATTAAGATTGTTAAAGAAATTGGTAAAGGATTTAATACCAAGACAGTATATTATATAAAACGAATATTGATGATGGCACTCACTTTGGTGCAAAGGTTTGAAAGTTTTTATATCAAAACCAGGAATTTAATTAAATTTTTATATTTCTACGAATCTTAGTATTAATTAGTAATTAAAATACTATTATTTAATAGAGCACTTTAATTGAGATTGATATAATTGATATTCTTGGAATAATTTTGCAAGCATAGAAAGTTATACATGTGTAGGTGCATAAGCTTTTTTTTGTTTGGAGCAAAATTTTGCAAAAAAAAATATGAAATGGTATATTTTTGAAAATGCAGTTTTTGCAGAATTTAATAAGCTTTTCAAAAATATATATTTGCTTGTTTAAGTAAGTTAAAATATTTCAAAAATAGTAAAAAAAATGTCTAAGATGTTTAGATAAGTTTTTCTTGTTTAGCATGGATTTGTGAAAAAATTTATATATCAATATATGTTCATGTATGTAAAAAATTATATAGTACATATTAAGTTTTTTGAGAATGTATAAAAGTTATTAATTATGTCATAAAAATATAATAATAAAAAATGAAGAACCAATGACAAACCATTTCAATTGCTATTAACACTAGTGGGGGGTGGCATCGTGCCTCAAGGCAAATTGCTGGAACTTCCCGTACCGTACCGAAATGTTCGAGGAATACTGAATGTTTTCAAATAAATTATTATAAATATTGTAACATTGTCTAATATTTATAAGTATTATATAAACTGAATTGCAAAGTTGAAATTATTTGTTTAAAGTATATTAGAACTATAGTCAGAATTAAAATAAAATCTGAATTATTTTCGATATACAAAAATGAAAAAAATTAAGCAACATTTTTTTTCCAAAATCAATTATTTGTTAAGACAAGCAGAAAGTTCTTTGAATCATTCAAATCGGACGTTTAGTTCTCTCAAAAACTGCCATTTTTTACATATTTAGCTCGGTATCTTCGAAGTGGCTGGGCCTACCTTTGCCAAAAACTAATAAACACTTCTCTCAATCATTACTAATTGAACAAAAAGGTAAAATATTTGTTAAATACTAAAGAAATGCTAGATGTTTAGATAAGTTCTAATGTGACACTTTGTAGTTTAGAATGCAATTTTGAGCATATTTATTTAGACAATGTATATTAAAAATATGTGCATTGTAGTAAATTTTATAACTTTTCAAACATATATAAATCACCAATAAAAATTTACAAATATATTTTAAATTTAATCAAATAAAACTTGAAAAAAAAATGTCGAGCTACATAATGATTCTCCATTGGTGATTCCTACATATATTTATATTATATGCTAATTTTTTTATCAAAACCCTTTCTCAAGGTTTAAACAAAGGTCCAGTAATCATGATCTCACCTGTTCTCACTTAGATCTTATGCAATCGCCTTACCATTTCGTATATAATTAAATCTTAAGATGGTAATGTCGAAGAAAAGTGATAGTACATTTCACATGAATAGTCCAAGAAATGAATAGATGAGTTCCTTGCTTTCTTTTCGAGATGATAATCTCTTCCATCTTCAGTTAAATATTCGCATAATTGACCAACTGGGCTCTTTGAACTTTAACACAAGGCCGGAGGTAAATGATTGACAACTTATTATTGGAGGAAAAGATTGAATGAGACTAAAAACAATTATGAAAATGGGGTTTTATAGTACTTAAAATAAGCTTTAATTAATGAGTATTTCTGCGTGTAAAATGAGTGAGCTATCATGCACATAAAGGACGCATACAATGTTTTGTTTCATTTAAATAAAATAGTTTATGAGTGCCATTTCCACCAAAATTGAAAATAATCGTATTCTATCTAGAATTAACTTGGTTTACGAGATGTTGATGGATTCTAGAAAATACAACTTTAGTACAAACGATTTCCAAAAAGCTCATAATTTCATGAAAAAAAATCTATTTAAAAAAGAAAAGATACCTATAAAGGTATATAAATGAAAATTCAAGGTATTTTACTGACTAATTATTGCTTTTTATTATTTTTCTGTTACACAAATATTAATAGTGTCCAACCAGAGTGTCTTTCGAGTCCTTCAATCCTTCGCCATTTCAAAATAAGAGAAGTTACGGTAAAATTTATGATAGATAAAGTTGTAGGTCATTTAATTACCATTAAAATAGTGTATTACAAGTACTGATAAAATCGGAATTAAAAGAGTTATAATCCAATTAATGCCGGGGTGGTGAAAGAGTGCAAATTGTTTTCACTTCTGAACTTAAGATTAAGATTAGTCTATTTCCAAAATATCAAGCAAATTGGAGCACAGTAAAAAAAATCGCAAAGCACACGCTTTTTTCCTCTCTATTTATTGCAATAATTTTGTTGATCGTAGGTTGAATAGAGCACAGGATTTGATAAATTAATTCACTTCAAATATAAACTTAAGTAATAATGTATATTGAATTATTAGTGAAAAAAAATGTAATTTAGATCGTAAATTACTAAAAAGCAGTTAAAATATGGTACAAATTATAAAAATTATAGGCAACATTATTGAAGCAATTATTTTGGGTTAAAAAGTCCAAGGTGTTATTGTACCTTTACCGCGAATGCTATTTATTAATTCTTTCTGAATTTGTTATACTTTTTAAAAGACTTCCATTTTCAACACGTGATCATAAATTACAAAGGCAGACGATGATTTTTTGTGTGATAAATTTGGAAAATTAATGTTTTTAGTCGTGAATAAACAAAAAATCATTTATTATACATCCACATCTACAGGTATGACTGAAAAATTGTATAACCCTTGGCATTAAAATAAATTGAGCTATTGGAAATAAATTTGTTCTATTAATTGTAGTGTATAATTTTTAATATACAATTTTATTGAACATTTTTTAATATTTGTTAGAAGGATATTTAAAGTGTTAATTGTGGGAATTGAAAATAATAATTTTATTTGAAACAGTTCTACATTCAACATCACTCATATATTGGTGTAAATAGTAATTCGAGAGCCAATAATGATTATTTTCAACTGAACGGTATAAATATTAGTGAAGGATATTAAAAAACGTAGATGTGGGTACAGGACAACGTCTGTCGGGTCACCTAGTATATATATATATAGTATGTATGTATGTATGTATATATGTATATATGTGTCTATAACAATTTCAAATTGTTTATTTATATAATAACAAATCTTTTATTCCGTAATGCGTACAAATGCGTAATTGAGGCCATAAGAATCCATTTCGACACGCCGAAGAAAATCACGCAACGGATTCTCTCAAGAAGATGATTTTAGAATACTAAATAGTTTATAAATAAATAGTTAATTTGTTTAAATAAAAAGGACATTTGTTACATTGTTGTTTATAGATTCGATTCGTGTAATCTGTTACATTTGTTATATATAAATATATTGTTGTAAATAAATTAATAAGCGAATGTGATAGGTAGATTTTTTTTAGTTTGGGGCTAAATATTACAAAATTTTGTTAGAACAATGTGTATTTCAAAAATGCAGTCTTGTGCAGAATTTAATGGAAATCTAAATATATATAAGGTTCATAAGCGATACTACAAAATTTTCTCAATATTTCAATAATAGTAAAACTTGAAGGTGTCACTTGTTGAAAAAACTAAATCTATTAGTATGATTCCATTTTTTGTAATTTTTTGTCACAAAACTGTATATTTCTAAAAAAGCAATTTAATGCAAAATTTAATAAGCTTTATAAATATACATATAACGCTTTTATATTCTTGTACAAAATTTTTGAAAATTTGAAGCATGATGAAAAAATGACATTTATGATCCTTCATGTATGAGAGAAAGTTTTATCATATAATTACACAGTAAAGACATATGTAGTTTTAAACACTTTGGCCATCACTACTATACAATTCCGTTATGGCCGCATGTTGGCCAGCCCTGGCTTGATTACTTTTATCAGTCGACTGATATGATAACAATAATCTTGTTAGATATACATTTAAATGTGTACTTGACACATTGTGTAAATTCGAATGAACAAAACTAGTTGATAATTTTTTTAGTGAGAGTTTATAATGTAAACATAAGAGTTTTGCATCCACAATGGCAAGTAATCTGCCAACATCCATTGGGAGTAAAATAAGTATACCTTTATATTGAATTCCTGTCATGATTACAACTTTCTACACATTTACTAAATTTCGTTTTTAGGGCAAAATGAGGAGCCGAAAGTAATAAATGTTGATAAAATAGCTGCAAATCCTGCAGTCAATAATAAAAAAGAATTGGTATCTCCACTTTTGTTAGACAAGAATGCTAAAATAAGCCATATAGCTAACAAAAAATGGTCGGCCTTGCATGTCGCGGCATACAACGGCGAACTAGCAAGGGTTCGATATTTGGTAGGCCTTGGTGCCAAAATAGATGCCGAAAGTAAGGACAAGTTGACGCCACTCCATTGCGCAGCTATGAATGGATTCAAATATGTAGTTCAACTATTGATCGAAAGAGGAGCAAATATTGAAGCTATCGATGATCAACAACAAACGCCATTGTATGTCGCAACTCGAAATGGTCACTTGGAGGTTGTGCAGATTCTGGTTACTAGAGGCGCCAATGTCGATGCTGTTATTGAAGGAAAGACTCTATTGCACATTGCAACTCAAACTGGTCATTTGGAAATAGTGCAGTTTCTGATTAGTAAAGGCGCTGATGTCAATGCTGTTAATAAAATAAATTGGACTCCATTGCACATTGCATCTCAAAATGGTCACTTGGTAGTAGTGCACATTCTGGTTAATAAAGGCGCCAATGTTAATGCTGTCGATGTAGAAAATTGGACTCCATTGCACCTTGCAACTCAAAATGGTCATTTGGAGATAGTGCAGTTTCTGGTTAGTGAAGGCGCCAATGTTAATGCTGATAATGTAGAAAATTGGACTCCATTGCATCTTGCAACTCAAAATGGTCATTTGGAGATAGTGCAGTTTCTGGTTAGTAAAGGCGCCAATGTTAATGCTGATATTGTAGAAAATTGGACTCCATTGCACCTTGCATCTCAAAATGGTCATTTGGAGATAGTGCAGTTTCTGGTTAGTAAAGGCGCCAATGTTAATGCTGATATTGTAGAAAATTGGACTCCATTGCACCTTGCCACTCAAAATGGTCATTTGGAGATAGTGCAGTTTCTGGTTAGTAAAAGAGCCATGTTAATGCTGATATTGTAGAAAATTGGACTTCATTGCACCTTGCCTCAAAATGGTCATTTGGAGATAGTGCATTTCTGGTTAGTAAAGGCGCAAATGTTAATGCTGATAATGTAGAAAATTGGACTCCATTGCATCTTGCAACTCAAAATGGTCATTTGGAGATAGTGCAGTTTCTGGTTAGTAAAGGCGCCAATGTTAATGCTGATAATGTAGAAAATTGGACTCCATTGCATCTTGCATCTCAAATGGTCATTTGAGAGTAGTGCAGTTTCTGGTTAGGAAAGGCGCTAACGTTAATGCTGGTATTGTAAAAAGGGGACTCCGTTGCACCTTGCATCTCAAAATGGTCATTTGGAGATAGTGCAGTTTCTGGTTAGTAAAGCGCCAATATTAATGGTGTTGATGTAAAAAATGGACTCCATTGCACATTGCATCTCAAGAAGGTCGCCTAGAGGTTGTGCAGTTTCTGATTAGTAAAGGCGCCAATGTTATTGCTGTTGATGTAGAGAAGGGACTCCGTTGCACATTGCATCTCAAAATGGTCACTGAAAGTAATGCAGATTCTCATTAGTAAAGGTGCCGATGTCAATGCTGTTACTGAAAAACAATTGACTCCATTGCACAGTGCATCTCAAAAAGGACATTAGAGGTTGCTCAGTTTCTGATTAGGAACGGCGCTGATGTCAATGCTGTTAATAATATAAATTACACTTCATTGCACATAGCATCTCAAAATGGTCACTTGGAGGTGGTGCAGTTTCTGATTAGTAAAGGCGCTGATGTCAATGCCGTTACTGAAACCAATTGGACTCCACTGCACAGTGCATCTCAAAAAGGTCACCTGGAGGTTGTGCAGTTTTTGGTTAGTAAAAGCGCTGATATCAATGCTGTTAACAAAACAAATTGGACTCCATTGCACATTGCATGTGAAAAAGGTCACCTGGAAGTTGTGCAGTTTCTCATTAGTAAAGGTGCCAATGTCAATACTGTTATTATAGGAAATCGTACTCCATTGCACTCTGCATCTTATAATGGTCACAAAAATATCGTCAAAGAATTAATAGACAACGGTGCAATAACAAATGCAATAAATTTGAATAATAAGACACCAATAGACTTTGCCTATGAAAAAGGGCACATGGAAATCGTCGATCTATTGAAAAATTAAGCAACACATCTACATAATAGTTAGAAACAAACCATTTTTGTTGTATTGAATGACAATGTGTTTTAAATTAAAAGAATTTAATAGAAAAGTTTAGTTTATATTAATTTGAACCTGAACTTTAATCGTGTATGCACTTTCTGCAAAGAATAAAGATGAAGAATGCTTTTATTTTTAGAATTGTTTGTACATAAATAGATTTAGCAATTAACACTTGAATTAGCGATAAGTTTTATTACAATTAATATTGTATTAATTAATTAATAGTTAATTGTGTCCAATCGATCAAACGACGTACAAGTAGTCGGTGAACATCAAATTCCGGGTGATCTAGATGATAAGATGAGTGAACATCAAAACATTTGATATATTAAATAAGCAATAAAATTATACATACTCTCTAATAATACGATACTAAATAATTATCAAAACTGCAATAAAAATATTTCATTATAAATGAGTGTCTATTTGTCAAAAGTCAGCTGATCTACTTTTGTACCAGCCTATCTGTTCACCCGTTTTTCTGTATATTTATTTTTCTAGATGTCTACTTGCGTATCTGTCAGACTATGTTGCAGCTTGTCTACCAGTTTACATGTCTACTTATCCAACTGTCTATCTGTCATCCTAGTATCAATATTTTATATGTTTATGAATCATCAATAATAGTAATATTCAGACCACCAAAATGTTATTTTTTTAACTTTGTTAATTTAATAATACATTGAAAATATAGCAAATTAAGAACAAGAGCACTATGATCATACTGATAATTTATTCTATTATTTTCGCATGTTGGCCAGCACTGGCTTGATTATTTATCAATCAACAATTTGCAATTGATATGATATCGATGTTAGATATATAGTGTATTGTACTTTTACTATTCGCTGAATCAAATGAGCAAGAATAGTTGATAATTTTTTAAGTGAGTGTTTGTACTGTTATATAAGTTAGTCTTTTTGCATCAACAATGAGGAAATAGTCTGCTACATCCACTGAAAAGTGCAACACGAGGAAATATTTCAGGCCATCAGAGATAACATTTGCAAAAAGTCCAAGATTTACTCAACTCCTGCAGTATTCAATTAAGTAATATTGTCGATGAAACCAATAAAAACAATACACCCTGCATAGTGCAGTTGAAGAAACAGGTATGAAATAGTCCAAGCATACTATTAAGAAAGTGGGAATTGAATATAAATGCAACGAATGAGGATGGTGACACTGCCTACACGTGGGTGCCAAAAAAAACTATGATCGACTGATACACTTGCTCCTCAAGCAGGAGCAACCGTGATGTTGTCAACAAGGAAGGCGAAACATTTCTGGATATTGTTAGGAAATTGGCAATTCGAACAAGAATCTGCAAAGCAACCACCAGGTGAAGAAAAATAAAGATATATCTAACAACAAGGACCATCTGAAATAGTTACAGGTACAAAATCAAGTGACCTTATCTTGAATTGTCATAGCTTTCTACAAATTAATAAATTCGTATTTAGGGCAAAGTGGTGCACAAAAATAAAGAAGTTGACAAAAAAGTACAAATCCTGCAATCGATAAAAAAACGATTAGTAAGTCCACCTTTATTGGGGTAGAAATGCTAAAATAAACCATATAAGCTAACAAGAATTGGTCGTCTTTGCATGTCGCGGCATACAACGGAGAATTAGCAAGGTTCGATACTGGTAGGCCTTGGTGCCAAAATTAATGCCGAAAGTAAGGACAGGTGACGCCACTCCATTGCGCAGCTATGAATGGATTCAAAGATTGTAGTTGAACTATTGGTCGACAAAGGCGCGAATATTGAGGCTAACGATGATCAGAACGAACGCCATTGTATGTCGCAGCACAGAATGGTCAATTGGATATTGTGCAGTTTCTGGTTAGTAAAGGCGCCAGTATTAATGCACTTAATGTAGAAAATTGGACTGCATTGCATATTGCACCTCAAAATGGTCATTTGGAGGTAGTACAGTTTCTGGTTAGTGAAGGTGCCAATGTCAATGCTGTTGCCGTAGAAAATTGTACTCCATTGCACATTGCATCTGAAAATGGTCATTTGGAGATAGTGCAGTTTCTGATTAGTAAAGGCGCTGATGTCAATGCTGTTAATAAAACAAATTGGACTCCATTGCACTTTGCAACTCAAGATGGTCACTTGGAAGTAGTGCAGTTTCTGGTAAGTAAAGGCGCCAATGTTAATGCTGTTGATAGAGAAAATTGGACTCCATTGCACTCTGCAGCTTATATTGGTCATCAAAATATAGTCAATGCATTGATGGACAAAGGTGCAAACACTAATGTAGTAGATCTCAATAACAAGACCCCAATAGACCTTGCATACGAGGCAGGGCAAAGGAATCGTCGAACTATTGCAAAATTAAACAAAATCTTTGAATAGTATTCAGAAAACTAACCATTTTTATTGTATTGTATCACAATGGTTTAAAATTAAAGAAATTTATAAACAGTTAGCTTATATTCCTTCGATTAATAATGCCTGCAAATACTTTTTAGCCTGAAATTCAAACATTTTGCACTTTTTGCAGGAATAAAATGCTTATATTTTCAAAATTGTTTGTACAGAAATAGTTTAGCAATAAACACCTATATTAGTGATAAGTTTCCTTACAATTAATGGAATAGATTGCGTCCAATAATCGATCAAACGACGTACAATGAGTCGGTGAACATCGAATTCAGTGTGATCTAAATGAATATTTATGTAATAAAAAATCAATAATATTATAAATACTCTCTAGTAATGCGATATAAACTAGTTGGTATTGGTATTTTGCCTTGAGGCAAGTTACATAAACTTTCCGATATGTGTAAATAATCGACTTAATCAATAAAAATAAATTAATTTATGAATGATTAGTATGAAAACGAACAACCACATTAACTCGGAATATTTTCTAAGAGCAAATTTTCAAAAATCAACCATTTTTTTAATTGAACCAGTTTCCGTAGGACTTTAATGGTTTAGTATGTTTTTTAGACCAAGTACTCTATCGTTATACCAAGTAAATCGTCTAATTTTAATTTTAACAAACGTCGAAAAAACTCTCATTTTCTCAAATTTTGATGAATTTTCAAATTAAACTGCATGTCGTAAAACCCGTAATATTTCAGTAAGTTCTATGAGACCATGATATACATCGCCAAAAAAGTTTCATAAAAATCGGCTAAATTTTTTTTCAACAGTTAATTATAAGAAAACGG